CTGCACCGGATGCATTCGACTGAACAATATATCTTATTCGGTGAAAATCGTCTCGTTACTGCCATCTCCTTGCAAAAATTCAGGTTTTTAGAGTTATATTATTCAACATTCGTTCAAATTTACACGGGCGCCGACGCAAAAGTCGCGAGCCCGTGCGCACAGGGGATCGCCGCAGCGAAGAACGAACTACTTCGTTCGCCCAGCTCCCAGGTCCTTGCTGTGGAAGACCAACTCGTCCCTTCTCGTCGCTCGTTCCTCTTCGATGGACGTCGTCACGACTGTGGAACAGCAATCCGGTTTTCCTTCCTCCGACGCTGCAACCGTCAGTCTGGTCGGCACTCCTTCTACGGTGAGTCGAACCTCCCGCAATCGATCGAAGGCGCCACGACCGCAGGCGGAGGCGAGGACGCCGAGGACGCTGTCGTTCTCAGGTTTCGACGGGCACCTCTTTCGGAGGGCATCCAGCAGGGTGGTCGCGTCGACGAAGTCGTTGCGACACGCCGCGAACAAATGGTGCTGCGAAGCTTCCTCGTGTCTGACGTAGTACGGCGCCGGCCGGAAAAGACCGAGCGCGGCGCACGCTCTCCTGAACTTTGGAGCGTTCGTTTCCTTCTTCGACAGTCGGCGAACGCTCGATAACGAAATCGTCTTCGTCCTCTTAAGACCGTCCGCGAGTTCGACGAAGGCACCGGCGCAGGCCTCCAAAGCCGACGCAGGATCGTCGTTCTTCAGCGCGATTTCCACCAACTTCCGGTCCAGTTTGGAAACTAGAGGTTCCGCGTCGTCCCTCACGTTCAGCATGCCGACCGTGCCGACTGTACGGTCCTCTCGCAGCTACGCGTATCCCTTCTTCGCCGTCGTCAGCAGCAGCCGTCTGTAAGTCTCCCTCCGGACGAACTTCTGCCATCCGTTTCCGCCAACGGTTTTTTCGAATTCAATCTGCAAGTCGGGTCTGCCGTTCGCCCCGACCTTCACGAACAGCGAGTCCGTGTCTCCGTAAACCACCCGAGCGCCCTTGCGTTCGGCGCAATTCTTCAACTTGGCCAGCTGTCTCCTGCAACTCGACGTCACGTCTCATCTCTTCCGGAGATGGCCAGGCATCCGATGCACGCGTTCGCCACCCTTTTGTACGCGGCCGATCGCTCCGGTCGTTCGTCCCGTCCTCGCACCAGCCTCTTGAGTACAGACGGCAGAAGACCTTCGAGCACGCTCGCGTCGACGAAGGACCCGTATTCAAGAGCGGTCGCCTCGTCCACGTTCCGGTCGACGACGAACCTGGGATAGTAGGACTTGAAGTCGTACACGTCCACGTGATCGTGGAGGCCGGGCACTGGTTCAAAAACGAGATCTCCGCCTCCGGCCGGCTCTTCCGCCGTCTCTCTTCGACGGGGAAACACGAAACCCCGTCTCGCAGCCTCCCTGCAAAGCATGGACGACACCATCTGCTTCCTCGTTCCTCCGGGAAAGGTGCCCGTCAACCTGGACGCGTCCAAGACGGTTTCCACAAGACGCCTACTGCGCACCTTGCGTTCGTAATCTCGGAGGACAGACA